TCAATCTCTATCTTGAATTTGAACTGCCACTCGCTCTTGGGAACACTAGGCATTTTTTTTGAGGCACATTATACAGTACAAAATAAACTCGATGATCTCGAAGATATGCGAATAATGGTGATAAGTAGTCGAACATCTTCAAGATCCAAGTTCGAGCATTTTCTCAGAAACAATTACGATCAGGTTGAATGGTGTAGAGTCAAAATCAGGAGTGGAAATTATTATTACTCGATTTCGACAGTTTTGCTCATTATTCTCATTTATGCTTTACATCATTCTTCTCGCTACCTAATATATATGCCTTACGCTTTCTTTCAGTTACATCAGTTCTCATGATCTTTCGTAATTTTCGTCGCGTAAATTCCTCGTAAAAATCTGTACCGTGCAAACAGACGTAAGTAATTTTGAATCCCGAAAAGAATTCGACTGTTTTTCCTCGATTTCTCCCGCTGAAATGATGATGAAGTGTACAATGTAGATAAGACGAACGGTAAAAAATATTCTTTACGCATAACATTCTATGGCACGATTCTTCTTAACTCGACAATGGATATCATAATCGTTCTTTTTACCTAATTGCGTGTACTAGCGAGAAGAAATGAATCATAGGAAAGTGTTTTCGCGCGATAAGTTAGATCTAGTTGATCGACGTTGCGAGAACTTAAATGTAAATGAAATATTTTTCCAAATATATCGCGAGTCTCGCTATTGTAATTCCATTTTATCGTACCTCACGCAAGACAGGTAAAAAGACTTTTACGTATTCGCTATAAAAACGCTAAGTATGGACTAATAATACATGGTACCTTAATAAAAATAGAGCTTCAACATTCGGCTAGTAATACAATGACGTTTATTATATCACAACGAGACAGGTCCTGCGTGCCAAAATTCTACTCTGCTCAGCGAATCTTTTTTAAAACTTCTTTTACGTCAATTCAGATTGTCCGATGCACGGATGCAGCGATGATACGACCAGTTGTAAGGCATTTTTTCTTTTTTTTTTT